ATGCTAGAACTTTAACACTGTGCTCGGAGGCCATTTTTTTAATTAACAAACTACTTGTTGAGCAGTTTTGGGTTCACAACAAAATTAAGCAGAAAGTACAGAGAGTTCCCATATACCGCTGTCCCCACAAATGCATAACCTCCTTGGGAGCCACTCTAAACAGCAAAATCACCAATAAAAATATAAAAAAGTGTAGCACCAAATAGACGGTGCAAAGGACAGTCGTTTACAGTTTGAGAGGTGAAACAAAAAGGCCAAGTGTCACCTTCTTCACCTCAGCTCGGCTTTGCCACTCTGCATGGCTGGGGATGCCTGCAAGAGCACCACAAGAATAAATAAACGTCAGGGAGTAGGCAGATTCACAGATGGGAATCTGTACATAGTGAGGATCCACTGTACTCTTAATTACAGTAGCTTTATAGAATGCTACTGTGTTCTTACACCTAGAAGAGCAAGTGCCTCATTATTTTTTCAAGAATTTATTTTCTTAAAGTGCAATAATAGACAAATAGCCCAATTAAAAATAGGCAAAAGATTTGAATAGACATTCCTCCAAGAAAGATAGGCAGATGACAGGAACGTAAAATAGTGCAGCTGCTTTGGAAAACAGTTTGGCAGTTGCTCAGAAAATTAAACACAGAGTTACCAAATGACCTAGTCATTCCACTCCTAGGTATGTACACAGAAGAATTGAAAACACATGTCCACACAAACACTTGTATGCAAATATTCATAGGAGCATTGTCCATGATAGCCCCAAAGTAGAAATGTCCAGCAACATATGAATGAATAAACAAAACGTAGTATATCCACATAATGAATATTACTTGGCAATAGAAAGGAAAGTCAACTGATAAGCACTGTAACATGGATGAACCTTGAAAACATTAGGCTAAATTAAAGAAGCCAGACACAAATGACCGTATATTGCACAATTCCATTTATTTGAAATACCAGAATAGGCAAATCCATGGAGACTGAAAGATTAGTGGTTGCTCAGGGCTGGCAGGAGAGGGGTTAGAATGGGAAAAGTGTCTAATAGGTATAGGGTTTCTTTTTAGGGTGATGAAAATGTTTTAAAATTGGATAATAGCGATAGTTACTACAATTCTGTGAATACACTAAAAGCCACTGAATTACACAGTTTATTTTTTAAAGATTTATTAATTTGAGAGAGTGCGTGAGTGGCGGGGGGAGGTGCGGAGGGAGAGGGAGAATCAAGCACACTCCCCTCTGAGCACGGAGCCTGTCTTGGGGCTGGGGGCTCGATCCCAGGACCCTGAGATCGAAATCAAGAGTCAGCCGCTTAACCGACTGAGCCACCCAGGTGCCCCTGAATTGTACACTTTAAATGAATGAATTTTATGGTCTAGGAATTAAATCTCAGTGAAGCTGAGGTTTTTTGTTAATATTTTATCTACACAGAGACAGCAGAATAATGCCCTTTCCCTCCGGTCCTTCCCTCTTCACGCCCAGCATTGTAAAGAGCTCGAGCCGTCCAGTGACCCGTGAGCAGTCAGGGGTGAGGGTCCTCAGGTCCACCATCTGCCCAGGGTCTGTGACATAGGCTCTTCCTGTATTGTCCAATGGTATCTGGGCCCGAGGGGGCGTGTCCTCCATAGATTTGAAGCAGCGACCAGACTTTGTAAGTCATTTGTTATAACCAAGGATGCCTCTGGCCCTGAAATTATTTCCAGAGTTAATTTGGGCAGGGGGTGGATTATTGCCTGTTGCTGTTCTCACACATTTCCTCTTCTAGATAACCTTCAGAATGAGATTGTCACAGCCCCACCCCACCCCTACCTTCACCAGTAGGAACTCTGATGGGAGACTCTCCAAGTTCTGCTCACTTTATCTTTGGGTAGACTTGGCCTCTTTTTAATATTTAGTCTTCCCATCCAGGATCACGGTATGATATGTTTATTTATTCAAGTCTTATTTTATGTCCTCCAGTCAAATTCTGTAGTTCTACCTTTCTTGTGAAGCTTCCTGCTAGTAATGAATGAGGCCATTTCCATTTCAGTTTTGCAGTGACTAGCTAGGAGAGGAAGGGGTCATTGGTGTTCATGTGTCTAGATGTGTGTACCTTACATTCTGCCACCTCATTGAATCCTCTGGGTAGTACTCTAGTCTCTCTTTCTCTTTCCTGATTTTTCCTTCCCAGGGTTTTCTTCCTCCGCCTCCTTTTCAGGGCACCTCTACCTGGAAATCCCAGGAGTGTCTAAAGCTCAGAATAAAACCGAAATTCAGTAAATCACAGCTAAAATGATCTCTCTGTGCTCTTAGGTTCAGAACCGCTCACTGCTAGCCCCTAGCCCTTAAAGCACCTTTTTATACCTTAAGATGCCCCCTTCTCCTGACACTTGACTCTTACCTCCTCGAGAAATTGCCATAATTAACTGACTCAGTTGGAATAGGACACATGCCTGCAGGAACATGTCATGATCAGTCTGCAGGTCTCCAGCATCCACTGTGTCCGGGTCCCCTTAGGCGAGGCGTGCTTGGGCAATCTCAGCACACAGCATTCTTTAGATCTGTAGGTTGTGCCGTCACTGCCTCAGTTTACCTCTCATTATATGTCACCTCTCATCATGGTACAACCCCTGCCCCCCAAAAAAGGACAAAAACAAAGTACAACCCAGTCTTCCTCTTCCCAGCCTCTCTCTTCTCGGACAGTCTAGTCACAGCCCAGAATAGCCTTCCTAAAGCATTGGAAACCACTACCCAAAGGCCTTTGCCGGTTTCTTGTTTTGCTCAGAGTCAGAAGTGCTTCACGCCCTGGAGCCCTCCTCACAGCCATCCTACTTTTCGTTTCTACTGCCACCCGCTCTGTGCTCTTCCCACCACACTCTGGTGCCTTGGTTACTGCTCTCGCCCCTCACTCTCCGCTTGCCCATCTGTAATGGGAGAAGAGCGCTGCCTCCTCAATAATCATATAGTAAAAAGTAAATGACAGAGCATGTGAACATGACCAGCCCAGGGCCTGGCATTTAGCACGTCGATGTCCTTTCCCCTTCCTTCCATAGAACTCCCTCACAAGGACTTTGGAAACTGAAATACTATATAATTGTAACATACTGTTATGATTACTTATGCCTCATTGTATGTCCATTACCCAAAGTGCTTGTATTTGGGCAAGAAGTAATCGTATTTGACCTCTAATTAGGAACATTTGAAAATATCCCAGAAGAGGGGCACCTGGGTGGCTCAGTTGGTTAGGCGTCCGACTCTCAATTTTCGCTCAGGCCATGATCTCAGGGTCGTGAGATTGAGCCCTGCATCGGGTTCTGTGCTGGGCATGGAGCCTGCTTAAGATTCTTTCCCTCTCCCTCTGCCCCCGCCTCCCATTCATGATCTCTCTCTACCCCCTTCTATCTCAAAAAAAAAAAAAAAAAAAAAAAAAATCCCAGAAGAAAAAGGCATAACTTCGCAGCCTCGGGGTGCCACAGGAGGATTCCTGGCTGTCCCTGGAGGCCCCTGGCAGGATAAGGAGGCAGCAGAGGGTCCCCTGGCTGGCAGTCTGCCCACAACGGAGGCACGTGAGGAGGGGAGGTGGCAGCTGCCTCAAGGAAACAGGTTCTGTCTGCAAGAGATGGAGGGCATTTGGAGGGTGCGCAGGAGACAAGCTAAGAACAAATGCAGTCCTTCCCTGGTGGGGATTTCCTCCGCCCCACTACTGTTGCCTTAAGAAAAGAAGGAAAAGGCACTTGCTGTCAACTGCAGCAAATGTTTTGTGGTTAGGAGTCAGTTTCCAAGTGTGTTGATTGGTTCAGAGAATTGACTTAATTTCAGCCACATTTGGTGGTCTGTTTGTCTTTTGTTCTAGGCTTTCTCCCGATTTGGTTTCCACTGGGTTTTAATCAGAAACCATCTGTGAAAATTTTGGATCCAAATTAGAGTTTATCATAAGCACATATCTCAGAGAACACAGATGAAACCCAGAGTGGAACAGAAAGCAAACAAGAAGTAATGCAATAACATTAGAAACAGAATGGTGTCAGAGGGAAGGAACAGAGGGAAACTGAGAAGGGCTGCATCCAGAGAGCGAGCCAACTCTTCAGCAGAGGACCTGCGAGAGAAGGGGTTGGCGAGGCAACTAGCACTCACATCAGGGACTGGTCGGCCATTCTTCCCCCTGCAGCCCTGGGGGGGGAGACACCATGGTTAGTGGGCCCTACCCACTTCTGAGCTGGGACAGAGCACTCTTTTTTTGTTTGTTTGTTTAAGATTTATTTATTTATTTGGGAGAGAGAGAGCCCAAAAGCGGGGTGCAGGGGGCAGGAGCAGAGCGAGAGAGAGTATCTCAGGCAGACTCCCCGCTGAGCTCAGAGCCCATCTGGGCCTGATCCTATGACCCCGAGATCATGATCTGAGCCAAAACCAAGAGTCCCAAGCTTAACCAACTGTGCCACCCAGGTGCCCCACAGAGCACTTAGTGGGCACGTGCAATTCACTTTACACCAGAGATGGGCCCATGAGAAGTCCTATCTCCTCTCCATCTTTTCCCGCCCCTCTTTCCCAGAGTCATCCTGGCCTCCACTTGGAGACAACACACAGTGGGGCTCATCACTGGTGGTGGGACCACCCTTTCTGCCTGCCCCTCCCCCATGTGCTGTAGACTTTCAGACGTCTGGGTCACGGATTAGAAAACAGTGGGACAGCTCTATCTCCATCCCCAGGTTGCTGAATATCTTCTCCAACTGGTTGACGTAGTTGAGTTGACTTAGGAGATACTTATACATATTAAAAGATATTTTCCATGAAGTGTAGAAGAATATACAGAAGAACATACCTCTCCTGCCCACCCCTATCCCCTGTGCCCTCTACACCCTCCTCAGAGGGTGTACTTATTTCATATGTACCTTTTCAGAGGTCACCAGTGCTGATCATTGTCAGCTTTTAAAAATCATTGTATCTTTCCTTTTTACTTTCATTGCTGAGGCTGAGGGTTTACCCGCTGTGTTCTGTATCTGCCTTCTCCATATCCCTTCCTCTCACAGACTTTGACCCTTGGTGGACAAACAACTGTGAGCAGAATGAGTCAGACCCCATCCCTGCCAACTGCACTGGCTGTGCCCAGAAATTACCCCTCAAGGTAATGCTCCTGGAAGATACCCCGAAGAAATTTGAGAGACTTCATCCTCTGGTGATCAAGGTGAGCAAGAAGCCTGATTCTCCCACTGATAGGTTATCTGTTTAATGGCTTGCAAGCATCAGGCTCTGTGACATTCCTGAGAGGGAATCCTGTGTTGGTTTTTGTCTTGCTTTTGTTTTCTGCCTTGCCAAGACGGGACAGCTCTTGTTGTCAGAAGAGTTTCAGCATTTCCTGTGCCAGTACCCTGAGGTAACGGAAGGCTTCAGCGAAGCGTTTTTCAGCAAGTGGTGGCGCTGCTTTCCCGAACGGTGGTTCCCATTTCCTTATCCGTGGTGAGTGTGGAAAAGGGCACTTAGCCTGCATGTGGTAGAAACCGGGCAGACCAAGTGTGAGAACAATACTAGCTACCACTGAGACCCTCCCCTGCCTTGCACTGGGTAGGCACTCTTCAAGTCAAATGGTAGGACCTCACTGTTGAAAAATCAGCCATGAGTTGAAGAGGTGTCTCAAGAGGGCTGTCACCATAAGTGGACACTGAGATTGCCTGATAGCATCATAATTTATTTCTGAGGACATGTTTAACATTTGTGTTTGTGCAAAATGCATCCTGAGTGTTGAGGGCTAAAGAGAAAGCATGAAGAATAGAAGGGAAACTTCATTTCCTGGCACTTGTTTGTGCCAGGCTGTGTGCCTTAGTGGTCAGTGTCTGTTTCTCACTGGTGATGCTCATAATAGCTGTAGGAAGTAGGAATTATCATTGTCATTTTTCAGATCAGAAAAGTGGGAATCAGAGAGGTTAAGTACCTTGCTTAAGGTCACCCAGCCAGGATTGAAACCCAGGTCTGTCTCCCTCTTCCTCCCTGTGACCTGTAGAAGACATGGTCAGGGCGTGTGGGTGGCTCAGTCGGTTAAGCGTCCAACTCTTGATTTTGGCTCAGGTCGTGATCTCAGGGTCATGAGATTGAGCCTCCCATCAGGTTCTGTGTTCATCCAGGGAGTCTGCTCTTCTCCCTCTGCCCCTCCCCCGGTCACGCTCACTCTCTCTAAAAAAAATAAATAAAAGGAAAACATGGTCCATTTTTGGGGTGAAGGTTGCTCTCCAGAAAAAAAGAAGGAAAGCCAGTTTCCATCTAGAACCATTCCAAAAGAGAATTAAAATTGCTTTTTTGGTCTTTTTGTTAGATAATTTCTCAGTGCTTCTGTCTTTTTTAAAATTTGCCATTTATTTGCCTGATCAAATACTCTGGTTTAACTAGTTAGGCTTCCCATTGCATGCAATACCGCCTTAGAAGAAAGTTCATGATTTTTGCCTCCTCCTCCTCCCTTCTGTTCTCCCGCCTGGCCTGCTGTTAGTTACTTCAGTCTCTTTTCCAAGATAGAATGAATGGACCGTTTCTTTCCTTCCTCTATATGTTGTTTTAGCTGGATTTTATAAACACCCCACCCACATGTACAAATTATTGGCTGTGGAGTTATGTGTGTACGTGTGCATGTCACAATTAATTGATTTGGCATGACTGTTATTCATGAACCTAATACTTAAGATACTGTCCTGATATTTTTCCTGTTTACCCACCGCCCACAGTTTTCCCACCCTTGCTTAGCTCCCTGTTAGTCATGGAGATAGAAGCTGGCTTGCCCAGCTGAATTGCTTTTGTCTCTTTCAAATTTTACAGGAGAAGACCTCTAAACAGAGCACATATTTTACGCGAGCTTTTTCCTGTTTTCACCTACCTGCCATTTCCAAAAGATGCCTCCTTAAGAAAGTGCTTCCTTCTTCAGCCGGAACCTATTGTGGGTAGTAAGGTAGGACATTTTGAGAGGACTTGGGTCTAGAATTCTCCTCTTTTGGCACCTGGGCTGATGTCATAATCCCTTCCTTCCCTGCATGTCAACTCAGAAAGTGAATTGAAGGGACACCCACATAATCTACAGTTCTCTCCTCCTGTTGCTAGCCAGGAGACCTGCAGTGGCCCACCCTTCCACAGAGGCATGCTTACAGAAAGTCTCGTTACTTTGCAGATCTGTTTCCTGCCCTTGACACCTGAGGTCAAGCTCCTTTTCTACATTAGGAAGTAAAGTCCTGAAATTTAAAGGGACCCAAGCGTGCAGTTAGTCTGACTTCCCCACCTCAAAGTAGACAGCAGGCAAGCTATAAATGAGCAGCCCATCTTACTCATTTTGTGGATAGGGCACTGAGCTCCAGAGAGAGTGAATGATTTGCCCAAGGACACAGCAAGTTAATAGGAGGGCTCTACCCACCCCACCACCAACCCGCATTCCAGGTTACCTTTCCCCAGAAATAAACAAAGGAGAAACTTCAGGTGGAGAACTGGGAAAGCAAAAAGCTTGAGAGGTTTGGGGATAAAAGGGTTGCCGGGATGTGCCCGAGGCAGGCAGACCAGTTTGGGTAGCAACACTTAATCCTCGGCCAAGTACCCAGAGCCCACATTTACGTCTCTGGGGCCAGTGGACTGAGTCAAGCTGTTCTATGTTGTGTCTGTTTACTTTTCTCTGAATTGCTCTCCTGTTGAGTCTCATTCCTGAGGAAGGGTTTTGAGTTTAGATTGGTTTGGAAGAATTAATAGGATGAAATTTCCCAAACTATGACCCTTACCAACTTCGGGTTGTGTTTTCAGCCTCCCAGTACTATTGTTTGGCTCCAAATTTGCTGAATCGTGGTAAAGGAATTTCAAAGCCTATAAAAACCAATCATTTTGTCTAGAAGTAAGAACTTCTGTCTGCCAGCAGTAGGGTGGAGGTGCTGGGCTTGTGCCTCAGATTTTAAAGAAGTTTATTCTGCTGTCCCCGGCTAGAGCTCAGGGCCCTGGTATGATTTCATCTTCATAATGATGATATAATTCTGGGCGAGAGCTTTTGTCTTTATCTTGGTTTTCCCACTTGAATCTGAAGTTAATTTCACCAGTCTGCTTAACAGGAACACCGAGGATCCCAGCCAGAAGGTAGATACCAAGTTACTCAGACACCTATCAGAGTCATCTTGTGGTTCTCAAGCATGTTTTGGGAAGGGGAGTGATCCAAATAGGCAAACATCCTGAGAGTCTGGTTTCTTAGAGCATCTGCTCCCCACCCTGGCCCAGGCTCTCCTTTCTCGACAGCCTTGTTACTCCACCCTGTTGTTCACATCCCTGGGCCCTAGAGCCCGGTAAAGTCATATGTCTGTGGGACAGCCTTGGGATAGAAAATAAGCAATGGGGACCCGATTGTAAGAGGCACTGGGGAAAGAGGTGGGGGCCGGCTCCCAGACCCACACCACCCAGTCCACAGGGTCACCTGAGGCTGGCCTGCTCCATCCCGTTGTCTGTTTCTTCCTCTCCTGGGGGTAGAGGCACATGGTCCCGCCCCCTCTCAGGCCTGGATGAAAAAGAGCTACATCCACTGGGTTTTGGTGTCCTGGGATTTCTTCAAGACTGCAGGTGTCAGGGCCTCTGCCAGTCAGTCATAAACCGCTAGTCCTTCTTAGTCCTCCTTCTGTCACGACACTGGCAGTTGAATGGCTCTAGTGTTGCCATGGAAACAGCATCCTGGCCAGGACCTGTGGGAGCAACAGAGAGACCAGGGTTGGGGACAGGAGAAGATAGGGCCCAGACCAAAGCTCTGGAGGGACCCAGTGCCCTGGAGGGCAAACCAGGACATGGCCGGGGGAGCCGGCCTTCAGACCCTTGTGTTATGTGGGCATAGAAAGGCTTTTCCTGGAGGGGACAGGGAGGAGAGGCCCTAAAGGTTTTCTCTCACCATCTAGGTTGGAAGAAAAGCCTGAGCAAGACCAGCCCAGCCTCTCCCTTTGCCCCTACTCCCTGCCTACCCCAAGACCAGGGTTTGCAGCCGGACCTGGCACAGAGCGGGTTGCACTCTGCGCGTTGGTGGCAGTAGTCTGCTCTCCCAAGTGCAGTCGCTACTGTGGGGGCGTAGAGCCTGGCTGCCTTCTTAGGGTTCGAAATCTAAGGCCATTCTTACTGTCATTAGTTTTTCATCAGTAGTGTGATATATCTGTTCACCCGGATCTTGCCCAAAAGTGTGAACTTGAACTTCCTTCTGTTCAGTTCTCCTCCAAACCCTGGCAGCAAGAAGCACTATTCCATGGAACATTGCCCAAAGGAAATGCAGGCCATCTATTTCTCTGAAAAGTCTGGATCCAACCAGACCCTCGGAAGATCATATACTTAGACCACTATGTGTTGGCCTCTCCTAGACGTCGGTTAAATTGTACATAGATGATTTGCCTTCAGCCTCCTTTGGAGCTGTGGCTAGAAATAGCCATGAGTTATGAAGCTCATGCTAGATCTGCGTTAGGGCTGGGGCTGAGGAAGTCTCCCACTAAATCACAGTGTCTCTTTAGGAGAACCCACAGAAGAGATCTCAGTACCAGGAGATAGGGACACTGAGTCCCTGGTCTCAGTACCAGGAGATGCCAGGTTTAGGAGAATCTAGTTGGTTTTTGTCCATTGGGCATAATTGCGAATTGTGTCATTGGTTCTCTTTTCCTTTTTGCTTAGGCAAAAGTCAGAGCCATATATATATTTTTGTATGCTAATCTCCCATGCCACTGGTTTTTATTTTGTTTCCCTTTTCTTCTCCCTTGTTTTTTTTCCTCCAGATGCATAGGATGCATGACCTGTTTATCATTGGCAGTGGTGAGGCCATGTTGCAGCTCATCCCTCCCACCCAATGCCGAAGACACTGCCAGTCAGTGGCGATGCCACTAGAGCCAGGGGATATTGGTAGGTGGGGCCCCCAGGGGGCAAGGTCAGTCACAAGATCTTTGTAGTTTTCAACTCAAAAACTATTGTGAGAATTAAGTATTGTCTTCACAAAGTTTCAATTAAGTAGAGTCAAAAATAGGCTTCTTTTATGGGCAGAGTCAATATTTATGCTTAGGTGGAACAATATGCTAAGGAGGAAATGTAGCACAGAGAAATGCCTCATTGTATATACATTTAGAATGCATGATGTGTCCATCGGTCTTAAAAGTTTCCAGTTAGAAGGCATTATGGAAAATACTTGGAGCAATCCTTTATTTTTCAGATGAGGAGGTTGAGACCCAGAGAGGAGAGCTGACTACCCCAAGTCCCCATCAGCTAGGCAAAGCATTAAGCTTTGTGTCCCCTGCAACAGAATCAGGCCGGGGAGGTACAATTCTAGATTCGAGGAAACGCTTTTTCTGCCTGTTTTGCTCATAAAACAGCGCAAGCAGTATGCAAGGGCAACAGCCCCGTGGGGAAGTATTACCTTCCGTGTGGGTCCCACAGCCGGGGCCCCGCCCATAGTCATGACTCACCCTTGGCTCCATGATATCCCAACTGTGGCCTGTTCTGTGCATTAGAGTCTAAAAGCCTATTCCAAAAAAGCAGGTTTGAATCAACTGCTGTCCATAGCGATCAGTTTGACAGTAGAGTTTTCTTGGCAGTAGCAAATACCAAGTGTTACTATTGCCCTCTGTGTTTTTTCTGCCTCATGAAGCCTAGGGGAAGCCTAGCGCCCCTGACAAGAGTCCAGGCTGGTCTTCCTAACTGATTTCTTTTAATTTTACCTCTTCAGAAGACCCTGGTCGCTGGAAACCTTTCCCCTCGTTTGGAAGTAGGGTCCAGACTGCAAATTCTGACAAGCGTTAATCCACATTACATAACTTTTTTCAGTTTAGAAATGAAAAGAATGCACAAATTAAGCATTAACTGATAATGGAGCGCAGCTGGCCTGGCCCTTGGGAATTACTGCAAAAAAGAGGACTTTTGTGTAGAAATTGTTCTGAAGCGATTTTCCTGCAGTGGAGTGACCCTTCCGTAAGGCAGGGCTATTGCACAAGTCTGTGTGGCATTTGGGGTTGAGTGTATAGTGATGGCTTGAAATAGTTTCTGTCTTCTGTTCTACCAATGCCTGACGGTTCGGACAACTACAGAAACACCTCAGTTATCCAAAGTTTAGGTTTCTGGAGCCCACAGACATCTAGAATGCCAGTTGTAGAATTAAGGGGAGTAAATGGATGACTGGCAGTGGTCAAAGGAGCCTTGAGCATCAAAGGCTGGTGGGAATAGTGCAGAAAAGCCTTAGATACAAAGCAGGCTCACCTGCCGCGCTCTGACTGGCTGGTTTGCTGGCCAGAAGGAGGGGAGGCGTGGGCGGCAGTGTCCGGGAAAGGCCAGCCACAGGACAGCGACATGGGGAAGGATGGGGGCCTGACTAGAGCAAGAGGAAGAGGGCAGGTCTGGGAGAAGAACGGGGGGGGGGGGGGGCGGGGAGGACAGCGGGCCGCCGAAGCAGTGGCAGAAACAGCCGTGGCTGTGGCTGCCCCCGTCAAAGGCCAGGACAAGAGGGCCGCCGGCGTGGCCCAGTTAGGCGTCTGCCTTCTTCGGCTCAGGCCATGATCCCGGGGTCCTGGGGTTCAGTCCTCCGTCGGGCCCCCTGCTCTGCGGGGAGTCTGCTTCTCCCTCTGCCCCTCCCCCTGACCGTGCTCTCTCTCTCTCTCTCACAATAAATAAAGTCTTTAAAAATAAATAAAGACAAGGACAGGAAAGCAGACCCTGACAGCAAAGGAGAATAATTCAGGGCTGCTTGTAGGACAGGTGGCAGCTCCAGCACCTCGGGGACCCTTAAGAATCACACTGTGACAAGCAGGCTCTGTGGTTTTTGACAAAATAACATTGTCCTGGGCGCCTGGGTGGCTCAGTTGGTTGGGCGACTGCCTTCGGCTCAGGTCATGGTCCTGGAGTCCCGGGATCGAGTCCCGCATCGGGCTCCCTGCTCAGCGGGGAGCCTGCTTCTCCCTCGGACCCTCCCCCCTCTCACGTGCTCTCTCTCTCTCTCTCATTCTCTCTCTCAAATAAATAAAATCTTAAAAAAAAAATAACATTGTCCTCTGAAGGCCAAGGGGAAGGGGACAAGGACACAGATCACCAGAAAACCCGTGGTGAGAGGTATTTTCAAGAACGATGTAGGGGCCAGGCCTCAGAGGCTGATGCTGGTGAGCCCACACATGTGCGGTGATTGAAGAGTCACTGCCCACAGTGACCTTTCTTGAGTCACCAAGTAGAGATTAAATTCTATTCAGTGCTCTCAGTTTAAAGAAAGTTAAGGTACATTATACTCCGGAGAATTTTCCATCGGGAGACTATTGAAGTGTTCAAGTTTTTAAAGCTTTTAAGTTTACACCACTTGTAATATAGGTCAGTGTTTCCTTAACCGTTCTTCAGATCACTGATGACCCTTGGGGATGGGAACAGGAGCCCCTTAGAAAGGCCCTTGACAAATAGGGCTGTTGGGTCAGTTGATTTGGGGAACTGCCTGTCTTGTCAGTATATAGTGCACATTAGTGTACCGAAGGCTCCAGAAGCCTTGGTGGAACCTAGTGTTTCTCAGACTTCCTTGACCACGGAACCCATTTTCCTTCTACTGTCTTGCAGGATGCTGCTGTTTGCAGAACACCATTTAGGACATGTTGGTTTGAGCTAATCGGGATGTTCTATAATGAGATGGTGTTAGGGATCACATTAGGGGAATTGGAAGGGGGGTTCCTACTCCCCCTCAGAACTCATCCTTTCTTCTTGCTGATAAAGATGACACGGGCCTGAGAATTGATACCCAGCTCCAGCCTCATCTGGAGCATCCCGCCTTTGTAAACCTGTTGAACTGAGTCCTCGTTCCCCAGGCTTCTGGTGGTAATGAGGCGCTTTGGTTCACAGTGGCTCTTGCTGGATATCAGGTTACCCAGAAGCCTGAGAACTGGGGCTCTTTATGTGAGGCAGCCCTGCCTTGGTCCTGCCCACAGGTGTGCCCAGTCCCTGACATTCACCTGCTGTCCTGTTGCTCTTTCCCTTCAAGGCTATGCCGGCGCCACCCACTGGAAGGTCTACATGATAGCCCGAGGGGTCCAGCCTTTGGTCATCTGTGATGGAACCACCCGCTCAGAACTATAGGTAACAAGAACTGTACAGAGGAACAACTTAGAGAGCTGAAGACCAGATTGAAAGGGGGGAAATAAAAACGATGAACCACTTTCCAAGGCTACTTAGTTACCTGCCCTCTGCATGCGTGTATGAGCCAGCCGTATGCTGGAGGTCGTGGCCAGAGCCTGGCCCTCCCGACGCTTCCAGCCTAGCTGCTTGGCCAGGACTTTGCCAATACCTGCCTGTGAGAGACTGGGCTCTTCCATCTTCCATACCTTTTGGAACCGCAGCCTTAAGGCTGCCCCTCAGGCAGGAAACGGGATTGGTGCCTTCCCTTTCTTGCACAGCCTGATCCCCTCTGCCGGCTCCCTGGCCACAGAGAGGGCAGCCGGCAGGTCCTGACTTCAGAGCCATCCCTTACCAGGTGGGCCTGCTTGTCCTGTCTTCCTGGCCACACCAGCCTGTACTTCTGTGGAAAGCCATGCCTGATTAAAGAAGTCATTGCAGTTTCCCCAGCGGAATGGAATCTAGAAACCAGTGAAACAGGATTAAATAATCATTGCACTCAAGAAATGCACTGCTTTCCCCAGTGTCCATGACTCTTGGAGTCTCAGTGATGCCAGGTTGGAGTCTGATTGTAATGGAAATGGTAATTCCTAAGGTAATACTTCCCTCCATTTGATCAGGTTCTTATGCCCACCCCCAACCCCGCTCCCTTCCCTTCTCGCTTGCCTATCAGGATGGTTTCTCAGAAGTTGGACTCCCGGTCCCCTCTCCCTGGCTGGTCCAGAGCCCTTTACTGCTGAGGCAGCATGGCTTCTGTCAACTGGGTTGCATTTACCAAGTGTCTTCAGAGGGGATAAGTTAGAATGCTGGCCTGGGGAGAGGGTGCTTCCCGGGTTTGATCCTTAGGGTCCAGCTTTCTGCAGGGAAGATGTTTTACATGTGTGTCAAGCTGATGTTGTAATGTGGTTGGGGAAGGAACTCCAGACCCAGCGTGTTTGCCAGTTGGGTGTGCGACTCTGGGATCTTTTGTCTTAAAATGATTTCTCTCTTTGTACTGGAAAACAAGGTGAGGTATTTTTATTGTTCGTAAAAATATAAAGCTATGTTCTTTCAGTTGGGTGATAACCTATGCTCATTGTTTTCTCCAAGTGCTTTTAATATGTATTAATCAAATGTTATAAATAAGGATACTTTTCTTCCTCTTTTTTCCCCCCCTTTATTCCTTTATTGATGCTGCTAGATACCTGGCCTCTAGTCATGCTGTCACCAAGCTGAAGAAAAAAACCCGACTGTGGCCCCTGGTTCTGAATCTCAGAAATCAGATGAGTACAGGTGTCCATGGCAGAATGAATGGACCAGAGGCAGACAGTGGCGAGAGAAGGGGGTGTGACTCCTTGCAGGGTCCTTCCTCTGCATCCTTGGAGGTGTCCTTGTACCTTATCCCTGGGCCCTCCCTTAGCACATCTCCCGAGCAGCCAGCCGTGGGGATCAGCCAGGCACTAAAAGACTTGCTTTGTGAGCCTGTAAAGGACAAGAATGGTTCACAGAGCTCAGGGTGGAAATAATCGGCCTCCATAGACTTGAATGAAATTAGGATAAACGGTACCTGAGGGAATTTTTCCTTAAACAAGTCCGCGCCTTGTGTGGGTTAATACAGGAAAAACAAAATTTTTTGTACATATAAAAGGCATGCTGCTGAGCAGTATGATTTAAGAGGTTTTATTTCAGAGGGATCATTTCAAGGCCAGCTTTGCGCAAGCTTTTAGATACCCCTGCTGTGCATGGAGAAGGATTATATGTAAACAAGTTTTTTAGAGTTTTCTTCAATTGGGCCCTTTGGGTTAACAAAAGAGGGTTTCTTAGAAGGAAAAGAAACTGTTTTGATGATTGAGATTTCTATTTTGTCTTTATGAATTACCCTGTGTTTCTTCCCCATTTCACTCCTGCCCTTCTCACCTTAAATGTTCATAAAATATCCACTTCAGCTCAAAACTTTGAGAAACCCTTGTGTGTGTTGTTGTTCTGAGGCATCTCCTGGAAAGCCCCCTAAGCCCCTGAGCTGTCTACAGTGCAACAAAAAAATGGTGTGGCTGCAAAGAAACAGAGATTTTCGTGCATTTCCTAAGCTTAAAATCTATCCTGTTCAGAACTGAAGGTCAATTTCTGTTAAGGGAGAAATTTTCCAAAGAGAGTTTTCAGCTCTTAATTACTGGATACGTCGAAGTAATTTGCCTTCTTCTGAAGGCAATTCTGATAAGCAGAACACAGGAATGGCTTCCCTCAAGAATGGCCTGGATTGGCAGCCCGAGACTTTGTGTGAGGGTGCTGCTCACCCAGCTCTCATGGGAACAGTAGAAGTCCCTCCACATGACCCAGTGTGCAGAAGAGAGTCATCAAGATGAGGACGAAGGGTTTGGGGGGCATGGTGGGACTACCTAACCAACCCCCCACCTTCTCCACCACAAGAAGAACAAAATCCTCACAAGTTTGTCGAGTGTTTACGAAGAGGTGACATGATGGTGACCTCCACACGTGGGTTAGCTTCACTTTACTTATAGGCACCCACTTTCTCTCTGGGAAGAAAGGCTGCTTTGGCACCAGTTTGAAGCATTTATGTCAAGATGTCCTGATGTCAGCAGGGGCCAAGTATTGACAAGACATTACACCTGTTCAGGCAGAACTTATCCTCTCCCCACACTCAATTTTTTTAGGGAAGGGAGGGAGTAAAATAATATGGTTTATGAACATAGAATCTAGGGGCGCCTGGCTGGCTCAGTCAGTGGAGCATGCCACTCTTGATCTCAGGGGTTGTAAGTGTGAGCCCCATGTTGGGGGAAGAGATTACATAACAATAAAATCTTAAAAAAACAAATACACAGAATCTACTTATTTTGTGAAGAACAAATATGGGCAGATTTGGACTCATTTTCTGAGGGAAAGAATAGTAACATTTGTCCAGTTCATTCTAAGAGGGCCTCAATCTCCGTGATCTCCTTTAATCGTTACTCAGTCCTGTCAAGTAGGCGTTAGATCCTCATTTTACAGGAAACATTTTACAGGGCTTAGAACAGTTAGCTGCAGGTCAGTAGGTAGTTGGTTTTGCAGCACATTGTTTCCCTGCCTCAGCACAGTGTGGTGCCCAAGAATGAAGCTGTGGGCTTAATTGCCTGGGGCGTGTCCCCACTGGGTCAGGAGGACCTTGGGAGAGGGTCAGCAAGCCAGGAACTCTTCAGGGTTTGTTTTCAAGATTGTTTTGGACAGAAAGGGAACAGGAGAGAATCTAACCAGATGACTTTTATAAGAATCCTTTCACTTTCTCCCTCCCTATTTGAAAGCTCTTTAAGAGTGAGCGTGACTGGAACACAGCCGTGTCCAGCCACTTTCCCATCACACGTTTCCAGATGTGTGACCAGAAGAGGGACTCTGCCCAGTTCCAGTTGTGGCTCCCTTTAGAGTTTACCTCACTTGTTTGTCAGCTCTCCATTTTCTCGTCCCCTTCTTCCCAAGTCCAGCACAGACCTCTGTGTAGGAGCAATTTGTTTTTTAAAAACTCTCAATCTCCTTCGCCGCAGGTAATGGCCTCACTCATTTTAATATAGTTTGGGATGAGAGTTTGCTCCTTAACCAGTGGCTTCCATGATGAACATTCAAAATCCCAAAGCAAATGTTCACTTCTCACCTAATCCTTGCCCACAGGAGAAAGCCAAGTTAGAGGGGAAAGGGCCAAAGCTGTCTGGTTACGTGGAGAGAAGTGATCGTGACTACCTCTTGAGAATCAGTTCTTAATCAGAGGGGTCCTTTAGGCTTTTGAGCTCTCCTAGTGATGGAGGAGAAACTCAGCTCTGAGTTCACGAGTTCACACTCATTAACTTTCAGTGGTGACCCATCACCCACTAAAATTGGAAGAAGGAAAGCAATGTGGGATGTGCTTTTAAATGGCATTTCTCCCCTTTTTTTAAATTTAAATTTTAACATACAGTGCGATACTGGTTTAAATGGCATTTTAGATTGAGATTCTGTTTGGAGCTATGCATGGGTGTCGGGGCCAGGAGGCTGGAAGGTGCCAGTGCTTATGGGGATAGCCCTGTAGCAAATGAAAAATGGAAGGCTCTGGGAAAACTCCGTGTCGCCATCAGCATCTCCCTGGCCTCCTCACCCCCAGCCTCCTGATATCTAGTGGCTTCTTTCACAAAAGCATCTCCAAGAAGACAGACAGGTGCTCCCCTATTTGCACCACACCCAAGGCGGCCCACCCTTGGACGCAGTATGGTTTTATGCACTGGCCTTTGTGAGAAACCGTCCAGCCAGCTTGTCTCTTGTCCAGGTCCCTTAGTGTCTGGTTTCCCTGCCCTGCATAATTTAAGCATTAGAGCTAAATACATCTGTCGTTTTCCTCTCTCCGGAGACTGGGAAATGTCCAGAGCTTTTCAGAAGAGTGGAGAGAAGAGATGTTATGTAACTCCTAGTGGAGGCCTGGAACGGTCCAGACATGGTGGGGCTGGGGCTGACCCGGAGACCATTTCCCCTCCACTTAGTGCATCTGTCAGTCGGCGGCATGGATCCAAGCATGAGCCCCGGCTGCAGGCACCTGAGCAGAGAAGGGAGACCAGTCTAGAGTTTCAAACAGAAACTGGGCGGTCAGGCCATCAGCTGTGTGCCAAGCTTAGTTAACCTCATTTCCTCACAACAGCTCCGTGGGGTAGGTGAGGTCATCCTGTGAAGCCACTTTTACTCAAAAGATCAACCGTGTCCCAGCCTCCAAATTCCAGCTCCTCAGGGCACTTTTGGCCCTTTCAGAAACAAACTCTCTTATCCACAAGAATTTGTGACAGGATCAGACAGACACATGGCATTCCCAAGAACCCCTAGTCTCATCATGACCGGCAACTTCCCCCCTACCCCCCGCAACTTGTTGCCATAGTGTTCCCCTCAGAAATATGTTGGCTGTGGTCTCTCTCCTCCCTCCCTCCCTCCTGCAGAAGGGTCAGTAACAGACGCCTAGGCTGGGGGAGCAGACTGGAGGGGCAGAGCCAAGCCAGCAGCTAATGCTCAGCCTCTTCCCCACCCTCGTCAGGGACAGGCATTGGGACAGCTGCCGTGCATCTTCAAGGAAACCAGGGAAGGTTCCAGTAGGCCGAGGGAGACAGACACCTGTCCCAACCGCGCACGCTCCAGATGGTGTACGCTGTTCTAATACGTGTTCGGTGCAGAATGTTGATGGTGACTTAATGTACTGCAAACTTGTAAAGACTTCCGCCATGTAAAGAATGTATGTAAAGTTTTATGTAATGAAAGTTTTTACTTTTGCAATTAAAAGTGTATATGATGGTTGATAAGAACTTTGCTATACTTGGTGTCATTCTTAAATTTCCAGATTTCTCTTCCCCCATAACTCAGGAGACCTCTAACCACATCGTACTCATTAGGCAGCCCTGAGGGGCCTTTGGGGGGCCTCCCGGTCACCTGTCCCCACTGGCCCTGTCCTCTCTCACTTTCTCTCCCAGCTTTCCCAGATTCCTCTTTTCTCCCCATCCCTGCACTTTGCCTAGAAATCAGATGAGACCCTGGTTGCCTTTTTCTGTCTCCCCAGCTGGCTGCACATTGTCCAGATGCCATCACGGTGTCACCTCCCCTGTGGATGTCCTCGGTTCTCGTGGGAGGTCAGCCAGGCCCCTTACTGGCCCACGGGAGCCAGCTGCCACTGATCAGGGCCACTCTCGGCACTCAGTTAACCCAGTGCAGGTTTGAGTTAAGTCATTTGCTGTGTTCATATTTTTTTTTGTAATTTCTTTTTTATCTACACACAAGTTTTATATAAATGTATAAATAGAACTATTTCTTGGGGCGCCTGGGTGGCGCAGTCAGCTGAGTGTCCGACTCTTGGTTTCAGCTCAGGTCTGGTCTCCGGGTCGTGGGATTGAGCCTCACGTCAGACTCCACGCTCAGTACAGAGTCTACTTGAAATCTTCTCTCCCTCTGCCCCTCCCACTCATGCTCTCTCTCTCTGTCTCTTTCTCTCTAAAATAAATAAATCTTAAAAAAAAACAACCTATTTCTTACATGCTGCTTAGTGTCCTGTCTTACTTTCCTGCGTTTCTTGTTGCAGACTTTTCCCTCTTCCACATTGCTTACTCCCTTCCTGTGTGTCTTTCCACGGTCTCCTCCATGCTCTCTCATCATAATCATAAATCAAGACTTTTGTCATTGCTTTATCAAAAATGCTGTCATATTACAGGCACTCATTTGTTGCTTTGCTTACTCAGTACGTCCCAGAGTTCTCTTCAAGTCAGCTGGCGTAGCTCTATTCCTCTTTAATGGCTGATATTCCATGGTGTGGATATGCCATTTATTTCACTGTTCTCTTATTGAGGCTAAGTCACATCCTGCTCGATGACTGTTGGGTTATTAGTCAAGAAGTTTGGAGTTAGTTTTAAAAATACTTGTTTTGGGACACCTGGGTGGCTCAGTCGGTTAAGCGTCTGCCTTCGGCTCAGGTCATGATCCCAGGGTCCTGGGATCGAGTCCCGCATCGGGCTCCATGCTCAGCGGGGCGTCTGCTTCTCCCTCTGCCTGTCCCTCTCCCTGCTTGTGTTCATTCTCTCTCTCTCTCTGACAAATCTTAAAAAATAAATAAAAATAAAAATACTTGTTTTTACAAAATGTATATTCATCCTTCTTTGCTCCAGCTAATATATGTTCTTCAAAAATTCAAAAATCATCCCATTCCATGGTGCTATTCACTTACCTTTCTGAAAGCTGGACTTCAACAAGGAAAAAGGGGGGAGGGCTTGAGCCCATGTGAAAAGGTAGCAAAATCACTAGTTTTCAGTCCTCTTCTCTCTCTGTAGCACTTGGCTTCTGTGAGACTCACTACTCCCTTCCTGAACCTCCTCTTTGCCACTTCTGTCTCCTTTGTAGTATTTTCTTCTGCCCGTCTCCGAAACGTGGGTCTCCCCTACAGGGCTCTCCTCTTTTCTCTCTCCCTGGGAGAAACACTCTCCCTGCAAGATCTCAGTCCTGTGTTGTCCTCTCCACCCGGGGCCAAGTCACCTCCAACCTATGCACACAGCCCACACTTCTCGCCTGAGCCCTAGTTTGTACACCCGAGTGTCACGAGCTCATTCCGCCCGTTCTCTCCAGACGCACCTCTAGTTCCTGCCATGACTGTGGCAGCCTCGGAGGGCTCCTGTCTTTTCTCTCAGCCTCTGCTGATCAGGACCAAGCTCTGGAGAGTTCTGCCTCCTTGTTGCATATCCAGCCCCACCGCCACTGTCTCAGTTTGGAACCTCACAGTTCCATCCTCTCTCGACTCTGCCAATAGTTGCCTGTTTCCCAAGCACAGCCCACCCTCTCCATTCACCATCCACAGAGCAGCCACAGTGCCCTTGTTAAGGCACGTGCCCCCTTCCTTGCTCAGCACTCCTCAGTGACTCCATTACCCCAGGACACGTGCTGGTCATCCCCTCCAGCCTCATTCCACTCCACCTTCACTGTGCCTCACTTCTACTGAACCATCTCTAATTCCTGGAAACATCTAGGCCGGCTTTTCTTCTTTTTAACCACAAGACTTTATTTTTTTTAGAGCACTTTTAGGTTCACAGCAAAATTGAACAGAAAGAGTTCCTATACACCCTCTGTCCACCCCCGTACCCCCACCCCACCAACACAACCTCCCCCACTATTGGCCAGAGTGGTACATTTGTTAGAATCGATGAACCTACGTTGATGCATCTTTGTCACCCAAAGTCCATAGTTTACATTAGGGTTCTCTTGGTGTTATACATTCTATGGGTTTGGACAAATGTATAATTACATTCATCCATCACTATCGTATCACACAGAATAGTTTCATTGCCTGAGGATTTCAAAATCCTCTAGGCTCTGCCTATTCATTGCTCCCTCCCTGCTAACCCCTGGCAACCACTGGTTTTTTTTGCTGTCTCCATAGTTTTGCCTTCTCTAGGATGTCAGATAGTTGGATTTATACGGTACATAGCCTTTCCAAATTGGTTTCTTTCACTTAGTAATATGCATTTAAGGTTCCTCCATGTCTTTTCATGACTTGGTAGCTCACTTCTTTTTAGTGCTGAACGGTTGTCCATTGTCTGGATATACCACAGTTTATCCACTCACCTACTGAAGGCCATCTCAGTTGCTTCCAAGATTTGGCAATTATGAATAAAGCTGCTGTAAACATCTGTGTGCATCTTTTCACATGGACATAGTTTTCAATTCTGTTGGCTAAATACCCAAAGAAGCATGACTGATGGATCATATGGTAAGAGTAATGTTTAGTTTTATAGGAAACTGCCAAATTTTCCAAAAGGGCTGTACCATTTTGTATTCCCACCAGTAGTGAATGAGAGTTCCTGTTACACCATACCCTCACCAGCCTTTGGTATTGTCAGTGTTCTAGATTTGGGCCTTTCTAATAGTTGTGTAGTGAAATCTCACTGTAGCCTTAATTTACAATTCCCTGTGACAGATGACGTTGAACATTGTTTCATATGTTTACTTGCTACCTGTGTAGCTTCTTCGCTGAGGTGCCGTTCACGTCTTTGGCCCACCTTGTAATCAGGTTGTTCGTTTTCTTATTGTTGAGTTTTAAAGAGTTCTTTGTATATTTTGGATAATAGCCATTCATTCATTCATTCATTCATGTAGGCTCTATGCCCAGAGTGGAGCCCAATGCAGGGCTTGAACTCACAACCCTGAGATCAAGACCCGAGCTGATATCAAGAATCAGATGTTTAACCAACTGAGCCACCCAGGCGCCCCCAGATGTATCTTTTAGAAACATTTTCTCCCACTCAGTGGTTTGTCTGCATTCTCTTGACATTGCCTCTCGGTACTACAGAAGTTTTACATTTAAGTAAAGTCCAGCTTCTCAATTGTGTCTTTCATGGATCATGCCTCTAGCATTGTACACAGAGTCCTCATCATACCCTAGGTCATCTAGATTTTCTTGTATGTTATCTTCTAGGAGATGTATAGTTCTGTATTTTACATTTAGGTAGGATCTGATTTTTATGAAGGGTGTAAGGTCTGTGTCTGGATTCCTCTCTTTTTTGCATGTGGATGTCCAGTTATTTCAACACCATTTTTTGAGAAAATTATCCTCACTTTATTGTATTGTCTTTGCTCCTTTGTTGAAGACTGGTTGCCTGTATTCATATAGGTCTATTTCCGGCCTCTCTATTGATTCTGTTGGTTGTTTGTCTTAGTCTTTTGCCAACACCACACTGTTTTGATTACTGAAGCTTTATACTGAGTCTTGAAGTTGGATGGTATCAGTTTTCGACTTTGTTCTTCTCCTTCAATACTGTGTTGGTGATTCTGGATCCTTTGCCTCTTCATATAAACTTTAGAATCAGGGGCACCTGGCGGGCTCAGTCGGTAAAGCATGCAACTCTTGGTCTTGGGGTTGTGGGTTCGAGCCCCATGTTGGGTGTAGAGATTACTTAAAAAAAAAGTCTTAACAAAAGAAAACTTTAGAATCAGTTTGCCTATATCCACAAAATAACTTGCTGAAATTCTGGTTGGGGTTGTGTGGAATCTGTAAATCAAGTTGCATCCAGGTTGCTGTTAGTTCGAAGTTTTAATTCCTATCCCATGATACTATTTGTGAACTTTGATACGTCCTTTCTTTTGCTCAGTTTGAATTCCAGCTTATTAGTGCACATTCCTCCAACATGACACATGTCCTTTAGGCTTTCTTAAGTCCAACTGACAAGCCTCCAGACACGATGTTGAAGACATATTTCACCACTTATTTTTTCCAGAATAATGACTTTATTATTTTTGTCAAAGTGATACATTCTTCTCATAAAGAATTGAAGATAATTCATGTGATCTTATGAAAATCTCCACCCAGAGATAATTAATAACATTAGATGAACAGTATACAAGGCATTCCTAGGATGCTTCTAGCTAGGTGAGATAGAAATGCTTTTATTAAAATGGAACTAGTCATGCTATTTAAAGAATAAAAGAAAGCAATTTTATGTGAATCTAACAGAAGAAAAAGAAACCAAAGTAGGCATTTCTTCCCCACAGAAAAAATGTCAGTTCCTAAAAGATCTCTCTGAGGTTAAGATTATGAGAAACATCAAGAAACTAGAATGATTCTTAATAAGGTTTTCTAACGTAAGGCTCCACACTCAACGGGAAGTCTGCTTGAGGATTCTCTCCCTCTCCCTCTGACCCTCCCCCTGCTCACATGTGTACTGTTTCTCTCTAAAAATAAATAAGTAAAATCTTTAAAAATAAGGTTCCCTTTTTCGATGGCATGGTTCAAGGCTCTGAAGATGAACAAATCGCTTGCTCTTTCTCTCACCTT